ATTAAATCAAATTCATGATACGCTAGAAATTTCAAACGTTAAGGAAAAATCACTTATACTTGAATAGTTAATCTGTTTAATTATATTAATATTTGAATATATGTATTAAAATGTTATATGTAAAGAAGACATTGATAATCCGTCGTTCATCTCAATCTTATATATATATATATATATATATATATATATATATATATATATATATTACAAGATCAAAGAATTTATGATTTATTGTATACACACATATGTATGTTGAAGTATATTTGTATTATAATTTAAGAAAAAGTATGTATATACTTATATATTGAGCGGGTCGGGACGACACGGGTCAATACTAATACCCGGACTCGCCCCATTGTATAGACGGGACGGGGCGGACTTGCCCCATTATATAGACGGGGTGAGCCAAACCTGCCCCAAATGTCCTGTGCCAAGGCGGGTCATTGCCAGCCGGATGTTTTTGACATCCCTAACTCTGAGCAATCGGAATTCAAATCTAAGAACTATATTCAAGAGCTTCCATTACATGCTACTTCATGTTTGCCTAAGTTTTAATTACTTGTTTGCGGACTTTACAAACAAAAATATAAAAAAAAAATTAAAGAAACATGTACACAAAAAACATTATATTCCACAGCATTTATAATATGTCCTTTCAACCACCCACTAATTAATCAAGTTCACGCAGCTTCCTCCAAATCTTCATTAAGATGATTTCAATCACGATGAATATATTTCATGCCTTACCCACCAAATATGATCTTTAAAAACATGTCTCAAAATATCCAACGAATTGATAAGGATGTGATTGAAATTAAATTTATAATTAAAGAAAAGTTATCATACAAATTAGAAAACTAAGAAGTTTCTCGGGAAGCCGGTCAGCGCCCTTGCCATTGTGTATTTATGATTTTATGTGGTACATGCACATTTTTCTTTCAAGAATTGCTATGAATGTAAATTTTCTAATTTTTTTTCTCTAAATGAGAGAAATTCTTTCAATGAAATATGATAATATGATTCCAGCATTGCATTATTGTATTCCTATAAAAAGATAGTAGTTCTGATTCTGAAAATTACATTTTTTGTATTACTCGGTATTATTGAAGGGAACTTAACCATAATGGTAGTCCTAATTGATGTATTTTTAATAGTAAAGAGTTATAATTACATTAGGAGTCCTCAAAATTACAAATAACATATAAAATACATTAGTACACACTCTCAACCTGTTCAGGAGTAACTATGGGTAGATTGTCACGAAGAAACACAAAACGCTATGGAGTTAAACTCTTCGTAAAAATATCTGCGAGCTGAGCATATGTAGGAACATACTTAACCTGAAGAACTCCATGAACCACTCGCTCACAAACTAAGTGATGTCAATCTTAATGTGTTTACTCCGAGCATGCTAAATCAGATTCACCGAGAGATATGAAGCTGACACATTATCATAATACAATGTCGTGGGAACGAGAATAGGAAATCCCAACTCGAACATGACTGAATGAAAGTGTAGTGTGTCTTGAACAGTAAATGCGACAACGTGATATTTAGCTTCAATGGAAGACTTGGAGAAAGTTGGTTGCTTCTTGAAACCAAATTAGAACCAAGAAAAATAGCACATCCAAAAGTAGAGCGATGAATATCAGGACAATGATATAGGGGATAATAAATCTCCTGGGCCGGATGGCTATACTTCTGCCTTTTTAAGCATAATTGGGACATTGTTGGCCATTATGTCATTTTGGCTGTTAGGGGCTTCTTTAATTCTGGCAAGCTGTTGAAACAAACCAACCATACGGTTGTTGCTCTTATACCTAAGACTTCTCATGACCCAAGTGCGGCTGATTTCAGGCCGATCTCTTGCACTAATGTCATCTATAAGGTTATTACTAAAATCATTGCTTCTAGGACGATTCCTTGTTTACCTGAGCTTATTGATCCCTCTCAAGGGGCCTTTATTGATGGGAGACTTATGTTTGATAATGTTTTCATTGCTCAAGAGCTTGTCAAAGGCTATACTAGGAAGCGTATGTCTCCTAGATCTATGATCAAGGTTGATCTTAGGAAAGCCTACGACACTGTTTCTTGGGATTTCCTTAAGAGTGTCTTGCTTACTATTGGCTTTCCTACCAGATTTGTTCAGTGGATTATGGAATGTGTTTCCACTTCTTCTTATTCTATTTCCATTAGTGGGATACTTCATGACATATCAAAGGTAAGAGGGGGCTTCGGCAAGGTGACCCTATGTCACCTCTCCTCTTTGTTGTCTGCCTTGAATATTTCTCTAGATTGCTTCATATGAGAACCAAAATCTCTTCATTTAAGTTCCACCCCAAGTGTGGTAAACTTAATATCTCCCATGTTGCTTATGCTGATGATCTCATGCTCTTTTCTAGAGGGGATTACCCCTCTACTAAAGTTCATTGATGCTCTTGACAAGTTTGGTACTGTCTCTGGGCTCAGAGTTAATTTTGATAAGTCTAACATTTTTCTTGGGGGGTCTTGCTGATCATGACCTTGCTCATATCCTTGACTTAATTGATTTCAAAGAGGGGACTTTCCCTGTTAAATATCTGGGCATCCCCTTAGCACCGCTTAAGATTGCGGTGGCGCAATATGCTCCACTTTTGGAGTCTATTACTAACTTCATTACTGCTTGGAACACCAAGTCCCTTTCCTATGCTGGAAGAGTTGAGCTCATTAAATCTGTGATACAGGGGGTTCACTCATTCTGGCTTCAAGCACTCCCTATCCCTAAGGCTGTATTGGACAGAATCACTTCTATTTGCCGTATTTTCCTTTGGGGGTGCAAATATGCTAGAGTGGCGTGGGCTGATGTCTGCCTCCCTAAAGAGAAAGGTGGGCTTGGCATACATGACACCCATGTTCGGAACTCGGCTCTTTTAGCTAAGACCCTTTGGGATATCCATATTAAAAAGGATAACCTTTGGGTTAGATGGATACATGGTGTTTATCTTAATGGAAGAGGTGTTTGGGAGTTTACACCTCACAAAAGAGACTCCCAACTGATTAAAAAGATTGCCCGGATTCGTGATCAAATTTTGAGCCATTTTGCTAGCATCCATGATGCGGTTACTTTTCTCAATGGTTGCCAAAATAATGGCAAGCTATCCTCGGCTAAAGTCTATAATCTCCTTAGAATGAAGGGGTGTACTCATATGTGGATGTCCTTCATTTGGAAGAACTATATCCCCCCTAAGTTCTCTTTCACGGTTTGGTTGGCTCTCCGTAACCGGCTTGCCACTTTTGACATATTACACAATGGTGGTCCGGAAACGGTACCACACCTATTTTTTGCTTGTTCTTTTGCAGGTAATGTTTGGCATAAAGTGAGGACTTGGCTGGATATTCCAAGGGAGATGGGAACCTTACATAGCGCCATGAAGTGGATCAAGAGGAAGAGGCAAGGAGCGGGAGTAAAGGCTAAAGCGGCTAAGGCTAAAGCGCCATGAAGAACCCGGAATGCTACTTGTTTTGATGGCCTTGTTCCCAAAGAAGATGATGTTTTTGCTAAGATTCAGCATATTGTTTATAAGCTCTTATATAAGCTATATCCATATGAACTTGTCCATATTTGATGCGCTGCGTTTTGACCATCACGTCTTGGTGATTGGACTTTGTAAGCTGCAGGTTTTTTTGGGGTTTTGGTGCCTCACCCTCCTGTTTTTGGGTGCTGGCCGTGGGCTTTTGTGCTGCTTGGGAGAGGTTATCCTTGTTGGATAACCTTGCATTTTTGTTCTCTTTTACTTGTACATTCTTCCACCCCCCTCTTCTCTTGGGTGTGTTTTAATATACTTACCGTTCACCCAAAAAAAAATGAATATCAGGACAACCAGTCCAATCAGTATTAGAATAAGTAAAGATAACATGTGGCCCCTTAGGAGACTGAAGAAGTAAACCATGAGTAGAGGTTACCTGAAGATACATGAAAATACGCATAACAACAAAAAACGTGAAGTACGAGGGAGGGGACATGCATAAATTCAGACACTAGATGAACAACAAAAGTAATGCCTGGATGAGTCAAAGTCAAATATTGTAATCACCTATCATACTCCTAAACTTCGTGGGAATAGTGAGAAGCTCTTCACGAGTGAGGGAAAGTTTGTTGTGACTACAAAGAGGAGAATGAACCGGTTTAAGGTGTGAAGATGGAAACGATATATGAATATATGCCAATGAATATATTTATGTTGAGATGGAAAATTATCATAGGTATACGTACGTGTGACCGACTTCTGTTATGTTTAAGATTTTAACTCATCTTACAGTCTCACGTATACTTCATCTGTTCTTTTTTAATTGCAACAATTCACTTTTCACGTTTGCGGACGCACAAGTTTGACCATTAATATCTTTCATTCCTTATTAGTAAAAAAATTAAAAAATTCAGATTTTGAAAATTTCAAATGAGAAGTATTTAACAATATTTTTAAAAAATTTAATTTATAATACATTAACAAATAAAATATAGTCAAAGTAGAATGTGTGAATATTGCAAAAAATCCAATGTTGCAATTAAAAAAGTACTGAAGTTAAACCAAATTGCACCTAGATAGATCTAATATCATCTAATTTAGTTTCTTTCAATCTTGTCCATAAGTTGAGCTACAATTTAAATGAACATCAAGTCTATCACATGTCCAGAACTTGCATTTAATTTAATTTAATCATTTCATCAATCCACAAAACACTTACTGTTTGTATCACTAGCTTGTCTTTCACCCAAGTCAACACATACACCTAGCTAGCTTGCTTGTTCTTACAAAAAAATCCTTCACTCCTTAATGTGACTTGATATCTTGTTTTCAGAATGGGGAGAAGAAAGGATTGGATAATGATAAAAACAACTACAAAGACATAACCACTGAAAGCCACTCTGGATGGTCCCCAATCTAGCTAGAAAAACCATGCCAATATATATCTACACACATATGTAGAAAAAATATATAATATTTAATTATTTATATGAAATAAAATAAAAAGAGTATGAGCAAAGATCCAAAAGGGCAGTTTATAAAAGATGCTGCCTGCTACCCTTGCACTCACATGGAGCCTATTCCCACACCCTACCTGAGCTTTTTAGATGCTCAGAGTGTCTCTCCCTTTGCTAACTTCCATGGCAATATTCCCCCACAGCCAGCCCCTTTTTGGCTCTTTCTTCTCCTCACTGCAGAAAAATATAAAATAAAAATAAAGGTAACACTTGCCTAGAATGGTCACTTGGTCATGTATCTAGCCCATAAGCAAGGCTTACTTTTTTTTCACTTTTGGTATAACAACAATAGATTTTATTTTATGTTTCCTTTTTTTTCAAAGATTACTTGCGTAAAAGACTCTATCAACCCAACCAGCAAGCAAGAATGAGAGGAGATGTATCTCTTTTGTTTGATGTTGTTTAATTAAAGTTGCATCCCAAGGCTCCTTTTGTAAGGCATAACCGAAAATAATCATCCATTGGGATGAAGTGTCCTAATTAAATGATTCATAGTCTAATTCAAGATCTTTTAAAATTATACGTCTTTTTTGAATATGTGGACGTGAATGGGATTTTTTTTGTGGGGATATTCGGATACTATAATAAATAGGCTAAAGTGATGAAAAGAAGTCAATGCATATGTAAGATAGTCAAAAGCAGGAAGTTTAAAAATAATGTCAGTACTACTGTACTAGATGGCTAACATACAAAATGTCAGGCCCAACCCAATCTGTTAAGGGGATACCTATGGGTCCAAAAACTTTGGGGGCAAGCTCATGTGGAGGTGTGACACTGGCCCATAGATTGATTTGGTTAGACAGTCCAACTAATGGTAATTAGGTCATAACAGAATATGTCATAGTTCATTAGTTCCAAGGTGATTACCATTTAAAAAAGGATTGTGACAAAATCTTGAGAGTCCCATACTCCACCCTTTATATCATATGCTTTGGCTGAGAAGATAAATTGTCAAAGGTTAATTACACAATTCCCCAATGAGCAAATATGAGAGACCAAAAAATCAAATTTCAATTATGTATTGATTATCATCAAGGCCGGTCCCAGGTAAAAATTAGAGAACTTTGAGGCCTAGTTCTTTTTTATTTATTTATGTTGCGAGTATGCTTCTTTTAGCTACTTGAAACTTGATAGTTTTCTACTTACAGTTGAAATTTCTGGAACAGAGCTATGGAACTAGAGAAGATCAAAGACTAAAAGGAGCGTGGATTCAAGAACAATTGCCAATTGCAAATACTAAATTACTCTCTATAAAGAATCCTCTTAGAATTACTCCCTCCGTTCCGCAAAACAGTTTCCGGTTTCCTTTTTGGTCCGTCCTAAAATATAGTTTTGATTTCCCTTTTTGTAAAGTTTTGTGTGGCTACCCTTCATTTATCTTTTTCTTACTCAACCACAACCATACATTTCCACTTTGTTCTCACTTTCTTAAACTCCGATCCAAATCCTAGAGAGAACAATTTTATGGGACAGAGGGAGCAAGTTATACGAAGCATTTCTTTTCACATTTTTATTTCAGACTTGCGTTGCTTTTGTTTAAACATGTAACTAATACGTAGTATTATGGTAGAAAACATGTAACTTATATACGGTTATACCCATACAAAGTAGTTCTTATTTTTTATTATGTCATGTTTTACATATATAAGTTTAACTATACTTCTAACTTCTATGGTGCACATTTTTTTGAAAAGTAAGCTCAATACAGAACATCATTCATAAGATAAGTAGACATGACTCGCCTTAATTATCATATACGAGGTACTATGTATTAAGAATGGTTATCCATTTACATTCGTTAACCAAAAATATTTTTAATTGGATTGAAATTTTCTGATTTTATTTTTGATATTATCTATATAAGTGTGATTTTATGATCCGCTTAACAACAAGTCTAACTAAAAACATTTTAAAACTTGATAATCCTCACATATTAGAGATCGTCAACGGACTGGGTTGGGCACAACGGCCCAAAATTAATGGGTACGGGTTGGGTCGTGCTGGGCTCAGTAGTAGAAATTCATGAATGGACCGGTTCGGTCCACGTTTTTTTATAAAATTATAGCCCTAGTCCGTCTATATGGATTGGCTTAAGGGTCAGACCGGACCAGCTCATATGTCACTAAATGGGCTTACAAGAGAAAAATATAAATTTTGTATGCATCACGAAATACAATGTAATGGACTAAGTGAGTGAAAAAGAATCCATTACTTCAGAAAATGTACGAATAGAATAAAAATCAAACTTATCTACACCTTAAAAGTTTTTTCAAGTACACTCTTGAAATGTAAGATTCACAAATACCACGCTTATTCTTCTAACATAATCTTTTAAAGCTTTATCATAAGCTTTTATCACCTAACACCCATCAAAACTTCATTGTCTTCTACACCAACATTAGCTATCCAATCTGTTCTTGATGTAATAATATACATAAGATATTCTCTTCTAGCTTGTATTCTAGTGTTTACGAATGCCAAGTCTTTTTAAAAAAATAATATTTTTATTGTACTAGGATTCAACCAAGACCTTGCCCAAAACACTACTCCGTATATGATCTTACTATTATTTTAGTGCAGAACTAATTAATAAGTAGTTCATAAATAGGCTTTGGACTGGCTTAATTGGGGTTAACAGGTGGGTTGGGCTAATGGACCCGGAAAGATTTAAAATACTCTAACCCATGTCCATCCCATCAAATTGTGGATAATATCGGCCTGTGGCCCATATAGATTGAGTCGGGCTATTTAGCAATTGGGATGGGTAGGCCCCCACGAGCTCATGAGTCCACGGGCTAAATGATGAGCCCTACCGCATATACTAGTTTGTACTCCGTATGTATTATGTATGCATTGCCTATTCTTTTACAATCATGCTTCGTGTACATGTTTGTTGTACATGTCATTTTACACACTGGTTGAAATGTCTATGCACAGACTTTTCTTTTTGATTTGAGAAGAAAATTGTTTTTCGCATGGACAAAATTTATTGTTTGTCACATAAAAAAATTGTCGGTGTGAAAATGATTCTTTCCACAAAATGAAAAAAAAATATCTTTGCATAAACAACTCAATCGGCGTGTAAAATGACATGTACAAGTTGGCGTGCACAAATAGCAGTTCTCATTCTTTTAAGGGAATTTATCACAAATAGTCTTAAAAGCAAAAGTAATATCACTTTTGTCACCTTCAAAATCTGTTTTGAGCCTTATGATAGTTTTCTTTTCAATAATAGACTCTAAGCCTTAACACACATAACACAGGTAAACCTTACCCATAACACCAACGGTAGACCCCATTGAACGTACAGCTTGTCCCAATCCACATATAAATGTCACTAATATAAGATATAAGATGCTCTAAAAATTCAAAAAAAAAAACTAAATGTTGAAAAAATCAGTTTTTCTTTTAAAAATCTAAAGTAGATTTACAATAGTAAAATAGAAAAGTGTAAATATTATTAAAGAGTACAAAAATTTAACTAATTCAAAAAATTTAAATATTTAATTTGAAGAATTCTAAAAAAATAGTAAAATGATTAGCTCAAACTAAAAAATAAAGAATGTGAATAATAACCAAAAATTGTTCATTAAATTTAAAAAGTTAAAGAAAATGACTTTATTTGAGAAACAATTTAGAAAAATAAAGAAAACTTAAATATAAAAAACAATTTAATAAGCATATAAAGTTTAAAATAGTTAAAAATCATAAACAAAATATTTAAAATTAGATAAAACTGTTTTGAAACTTTTTAAAAGGTATGAAAAAGTAATTATAAATTTTTATAAAATAATAATAGTTTTTTAAATTGGAATTTATTCATAGTAAAATATCTGAATTTCAGATATATATATATATTTAATATAAAAATAATAAAAAATCAATATAAAATTCAATAAAAATAGAAAATTATATTTTATAAGTTTGAAAAAAATCAAAAAATAATGTAAAACTATAAAGAGTGTAAGAAATTGAAAACTAGATTATTAAATATTGTGAAGAACTAAAATGTTGAACATGTTAAAAATTGAAAAAATGAAAAAAAAATTGAAAAAGTTGATTTTTTAGTTTATTATTTCTAAAATGATATGTTAAAATTTTTAATTAGATAAAAAATTCAAATGATTATCAACTTATTGACTTATTGTTATTTTGTAGCATATTGTATCTTTGTGTTTCTTTGTGTCAACACATGATTTTTTGTATTGTTTCTTCATATTTCTAATATTCATAAATCTAAAGGGGTTTTTCCTTTAATATTACTAAATAAAAGCCATTTTCCAAAAATGTGACCACATTATATTTGGACAAAAATGTGACTAAGATAAAGTGACAATAAAAAATTCATGTCATTGCCTAATTTTTATGTCACTTTCGGATGTTACTGCTGCCATATCACTATCGCGGCCATCGCCATGTCACCACTGCTATCGCCGCCGGTCACCGCCCCGCCACAGTGACACCACCACAGTGACACCGCAATAGTGACGCCTCAACAGTGATGCCTCAACAGTGACGCCGCCCGTGCACAGTGACACTCGCCCAAATTAGCTTGACACAATTTAGCTTCTTGTGGAAGTATATTTTACATTTGAAAACATGAACACTTAGTAAAACAATATTCAGTCAAAGACTGGGAACAATATATGGCTAACTCTTCACATAAGGAATCAGTGGCGGATCCAGGATACAAACTTATTGGGGGCGGCGTAAATAAAAAATGCATCAAAAATTAATAAAGTATTAATGTAATAATACAATAATAAAAGTTTAAACAAAATATATCACACTTGTTCGCGCCTAGTTTTTATCTTTTGGAAGAGATCCGTTACAGTTTCATTTGTAACAGTTTCAAATAGAGGTTGACATAAAACCCAAACCAAATTGGTACCGAACCAGCCCATAGTGGTACCGAACTGAATACCGGGTATTTAAATGGTTCTATAAATTTTTATGCCGAATCTAAACCGTACCATTTAGAACAGGTACATGACCAATTCTAGATTTTTAGAATCGAAAAATACCAGACCAGACCGTTCAAAAATAATGCATTTAATTTTTTATATTTTTTCATACCAGTAAATGTATTTTATAGACCAATAATTTTATAACCCAAGTATGTACCGTACCATTTTTTACATTTCTGAAACGACATGGTACCGAATGGTTCCATCCTTAGAACTCGACCGTACCGGACCGTTAGAAACCTCACAGAAACATAACGGGTTTTACTAATTTCTCGAACCGTTTCGGACCGTGCCCACCTCTAATTTCAAACATCTCCTTCAATAAAAGTTTTAACAAAATACATCACAATTAATTTTTTTAATACATTAATACATTTTATTTAACTACCTAAAGTAACATATTATTTATATTTAGCGTTTCTAACGTATTAAATATGATTTTCTAATTTGTAATTTCTAATACTGTAAAACATTACATTAATAGGTGTATAACTATTTCTGAAACAAATCAATTAAATTAAATCTAACTGATCTTTCTAAAATATTAAATCTAATTCATGTAAATGAATAACTTTATAATAAATTTATAACATTAATATTGGTTTAGTAATACCATTTAATATTTATATAAAACTAGAGATTATACTATACAATACAATGATTCAATTAATACAATAGAATTCACAAATATGGAAAGTAAACAATACAATGAATATATAAGGAGGATTAAACAACTATACTAAATAGATAGTACTAAACTATCAAAGGCAACAAACCAACAAATAAAGCAACACTCCAAATTTTTATTGAGGGTAATTCATTTTTTTATTGGGGGTAATTCATTTTTTTGTTGAGGGCAATTACTTAGGCTTTTAATTTTTATTAAAAATTTACAAGGGGTTAGTGAGATCTTATTGGGGGCAGTTGCCCCTCTCTTGTGTGAGTAGATCCGCCCCTGTAAGGAATACAAATAAAATGAAAAGAAGACAGAAAAATGTTTAACACATAACATACCAACGTTAGAATTCATGTAAATTTCATGAAAACATATTATAAAAAAATATTTGAAACTAATGATTTTTCATATAAACCAGAGTAAGTTACATCACTTGTGCCTTAAATCTCCGAAAACACAAATATCTAGCTACAAATTATATCTAATTACAGGTTAAAATACAAGCCAATATAATTTCCCAATTTGTTCATTCAAAACATGTAGAATCTCATTACAATAAGCTACTCTACTAGAGACATCAATATGCAAATATCATTCACAACCTGCAAGAAGATGAAGAATAAATGAAAGTCTAACCCTATCAAAAATTAGTTGTGTTGAATGTCAACAACAAAAGGTGACTTTAAAAGAAAAAGATGTATAAAACATTTTTTTATAGAAAATAGAGTATAGGCTAAAGGGTCAAATAAGCCCCTGTACCCTTCCAGATTGCTCAATTTGCCCCCCAAACTCAAAAAAGCTCGAATTGACACCCTGAACTACTTGATAAAAAGATTCAAATTTTACTTTTTGCAGGTCGCAGGCCGATCACCGCCACGTCATCCGGTAGGGTGCCAACTGTGCATGTGACGTGCCAATTTAGGGGGCAAATAAGCCCCTGAACCTGAACAAATTAGGGGTGGGCATAAAACCCGAACCGAACCGGTACCGAACCGTCCCATAATGGTACCGAACCGAATACCAGGTATTTAAATGATTCTATAGATTTTTATCCCGTACTGAAACCGTACCGTTTGAAATGGGTATGGGACCGATCCTAGATTTTGAGAACAAAAAAATACCGGACCGAACTGTTCGTAAATAATGCATTTGAATTTTTATATTTTTCTATATCAATATATCTAGACCAACAATTTTATACCCCAAGTATGTATTCATGTGTCTTTAAGATATCTAAAATGTGTTGTTTACATATATATTGTTAGTTTTTCTTTTTAGATAATTTATGTTATATTTTGGTATGTATTGAAACAATATTAAAATTTCAGAAATCATTAATGATTATTTATTTCTAGTAATGTAATGTACATGACTTTTTGTTGTATCATGTTTGTGCATTTTTTACAACTTAATTAATATGGTTTAAATCTTAGCTCTCAAGGTTCAACTATAAATTAAATTAGAACTACGGAGTAATATTTAACCTAGAACGAAGAAGAAGAACATTGAAGATTTCTATTATATTAAACAATTTGATGATATTCGTTTTTATATTTTCACATGAACTTAGTAAATTAAAAATGATATTTATCTCGTGCGTCATCGTTTTGCTATATTTTTTCTTAGTTGTGTTGCACTATTTGTGAATTTTAATACTAGGTATGCAATTTCTTGTATTTATTTCAACATGTCATGTGAGTTGGTTGATGTGATGATATCTACTAATTGCAAGATTTTTTAAAAAAAGTTAGCATGTGTTTGGTATTGTACCGTACCGTTTTATACCGTTCCGAAACGACATGGTACCGAACGGTTCTATCCTTGGAACCGGACCATATCGGACCGTTAAAAACCTCACGGATACATTACGGGTTTTACCAATTTACCGGACCGTTCCGGACCGCGCCCACCCCTAGAACAAATCGTTCAATTTAACCCTTCAACCCTTAAAAAACATCAAAATTATGAAAAATAGAAATAAAAAATGAAAAAAGAAAATAAAAAAATAGAATAAAAAATAAGTCGAAAGTATAAAATAAAAATGTTTTTATATTCTTTGGTAAATTCAAAATAAAGAAATAAAATATAAACTAAAAGAAATTAATTCTTATATATGTTACGTAAAAAGACTTCAATATATTTATAATAAATAATATAAATATGTAGTTACTATTTTTATATTTTAATTCTGATATATGAGTGATTTTTATGTAAGTACAAATATAAAAAGTGTAATCAGTAGCTTTGAAAAAATAGTTATATGAAAATTGTATATTTATTTTTAGTATATATTTAAATATATTAAAAAATATGAAATGAAAAAATACAAATGGATAATTTAAACATAATTCTTCATATAAATTATCAAATCAAAAACCTAAAAGTTGTGTTATGTTACAAACCATTATATATTATACATAAAATCAAAATTTAAATATAGTTGGTAAAAATTTAAATATAGTCGGTAAAAATTTAATATAGTCATAAAATATGGAAATAAAGTTAAAGATTTTTTTTTTTGGATTATACTTTATTTTTTATTTTGAATTTATTGTAAATGATAAATATTTCATATTAATATATTTTATATTTTGGACATGTTTTTTATTTATAATTGTATTTATTATTTATTATTTATTTTTTAATATTTTTTTATTGTTTTTCAAAATTTTGACATGTTTTAGGGTTGATGGGGTAAATTGAACGATTTGGTCAGGTTCAAGGGCTTATTTGACCCCTAAGTTGCCACGTCTCATGCAGAGTTCGCATCCTATCGAGTGACGTGACGGTGACCAGATTGAAACCCACAAAAAGAGAAATTTGAATCTTTTTATCGAGTTTGGGATGTCAATTGGAGCTTTTTTGGGTTCAGGGAGCAGATTGAGCTTTTTATATGTATAAAAAGGTACCCACAAAACGTGTACAAACCATTTCTTTCTCGCCTTATTAGTCCAAACTAACCGCAAATTTACATTCTCCACTAACCTCAAAAGAAAAAGATGGTAGAAAGTCTAAAACAAAAGTAAAAGTGAAACTGCAATTTCACCTTTTGGAAGTTTGAACGAAACATTACACTAAACACTTCAATCTCTTTAGTCATGAATCTCATGATAGTACATCGCCATTCAAATGCAAATATTGCAAGAAAAGAAAAAGTTGACACCCTTAGAAATAAAATAAAATTAAAAAAGAATAACTAGCTAAAGATTAGAACTTTTCTTGATACCCACTACTTTCCCAATATCACACACACACAGAATTAATCACCAAACATGTAAATTGTGATTGTTTTCAAAAAACTCAATCTCAAAATTAAAACCTAGGTAACATCTTGGAAGAAGAAATCCAGAAATCAAGAAATCAAGAAATCAACTTCATTCTTGGACAGTAGTTCAGCATAAGTAGTCACTCCTAAGCTTCTTGCGAACAGCAATGCAGCCTCTTTCATAATCCCTAAAGATTCTGATCTCTGAGCAAACCCTAAGATCCTCAAGACTTATATACTGTTGCTTCACCACCCTTGAAAAATGATAGCCCACAGAGCTATCTTGTACCCAAATGTAAGGGTGGCAAGTCTCATCATAGTAATAAAGCAGAGTCTTCATTCCATTAATATCATTATTACCATTGTTACTTTCTTTCCCTTTCCCAGGCATGAAGCTTCTGTAGATGTTCCTGAACTTGAGCCTCTTGGACGAGCCGGGCTTCAAGGTGTGGGCTTTCTTCAAGATTGACCCGACCCTTACTTGCAGCTCGATGGGTCTGTCGCTGAGATTCCAGATTCTGGTTGCCTGTCCTGAGATCCCAGCTTGATCTTGACACCCAATGAAGCATGTCAGGAATGAGAGAAATCTGAAAATGGGCATTTTTGTATTTTGTTCTTCTTCACACAAGTCTTGCTGCTCTTATGATAGATCTTTCCTTCTAGTCTAACAAATCTTTGGGTAAATAACTTTGGGTTTGTTGTAGTGTTTGCCTGAATGCCCTTCTTTATATATGGGTGTGTATATATACCCTAGGGAAGTAGGGAGTATATTCTTTATGAGCAGTTTTCTGTTTATTTTTTTTGTTATAGTAGATCTTGGAAATAAGGGTTTTGACTTTTGATGATAATTCCTAAATTTAACATAATGTATAAGGAGAAAGTGGCATACATTGATACACAAAGTTGAGAAATATGGGTAAATTACATTTTATTCCCAGAAGACTTGACTAGATCTAATAAAGAAGTCTTTTTCGTAGTAGTGAAATGGTCTTAGCTTATTTTAGTAAAGAACGATAATTATTCTATTTGAGATCATGTGCTACTACGTACTCCGTATATTTTATTTTTAATTATGGAATTTCTTTTCATTTTTCTTTCCCGTTTTAAAATGAATGAATGCAACTCATTAAAATTTACATACGGAGTATTAACAAACTAAAATACAAGTTCTATTGAACTACTATAAAATGATATTAAAATTTTAATTTATAAAATCAGATTTATATTAATAGATACTCATATTTAAGTTGACGATGAGAATAGTGTCAAAATCCCTTTATAAATTACTACGTGTGAGGTTTGGCTAATGATTTAGTTAACTTTTCACACGTATATTGAATCAATTAGAATATTGCAATTGAATAGTTTAAAAATGAATGATGAAATAGTGACTTTCAAATGGATTCCATAGCATCTACCAAAAAAATGCTAGAATTAATACTATAATTCAAGTTAATACTATAATTAATACATTAATTAATAATTAAATGCTAGAATGCGATGTTGGTTGTGACACAATGTGAGTTGTATTGATCACGTAATACAAGTGGTACTTCAATTTGGGAAAATTTTATATAACTATTAATTAAAATCGTAAACCGAAATGGTAAATTGTCAAAATTTATAATGTGTTGGTTACAGTATGTAATGCCTTCTAAAACACTGACATTATCACATTACAATGATTCCTTGCCTATAATGGGACTGACAATGGAATGCATAGTCATGAGTCTTCATTCAAAAGTCAAATTATTTTTCACGGTTAGTTATTCAACACGGTTGGATCGAAAATGGGCGTGACTTTCGTTCCACGGAATGTGTCTGCAGTTGGACGGTGTTCGTGTAAAAGCATTATTGTTGTTGTTATTATTATTATAATTATTATTATAATTATTATTACTATTATTATTATTATTTTTACTCCGTGTAATAATAATAATTATCATCATCATCAAATCATTATGAAGTGTAAGAGCTTGTTTGGGAAATCAAAGCGACTAAATTAGCTAATTTGATTGTAATTTCTGAAATTATGACTGAATAGGATGCAATGTTTAATTATGAAAAAAGTATATGTAAAATATATACTATGGATGAAATAATTGAGAATATAATAAAGAAACTACATTCAGCAAATTATGAAAAATTATGAAAATCCAGGGCATGAAATAAAAGATTCAGATTTAATTCAAAATGTTGACTAACAAAATTTAAAAGCTAAAAAATGGGCATCAAATTGGCTCTAACTCTATCATTTCATCTTTCTTAAAATATTTATGGAGTTACGCATTGCATGATGAGAATCATACCCATAAATAGTTCATCAAATTAGTGAAACCATCAAATGAGTTTGGGGTGATAAACTCTTGATCACATCTAATGTATTGTGGGAAATTGAGAACCAATTTTTACATCTTAATATTATATTTTTGGGGATGTAAGAGATAATATTCACCTCTAACATTTTCCCACAAGTCTAGTTTTCCATTGGTCCCTAAAAAATAGTTTTTTCATTGGTGAGAATTGCAACAATAATCTTGTTGCGGACTGCTGAGCATTTGGTTGAAAATAGCGGCCCATTATCCTACTACTTAAATTATTCAATTGAAATATTGTACGTAATTATTAATATGGACATTATATGATATTGGAAGATTAATGGGAGTTGAATTTGCATCCCCAAGTACATGGGTGGTTTGAGATGTGGTAAATTGAGGGCAAAGGGCAGTTCCCCTATTTGACTCTCATCCAACCGTTACCGGTGCTTATACCGTGGGATCGGTGCATGGTGAGCATCATGCATCCTTTGTTATTTTCTATTTCTCCTTTTCTTAAAATTGTTAATAATTTTTTTATTTTTGATCTGATTTTTATAAAAATTATATCAAAATTTTTTATTTTTCATGATCTTTCAAATGAGACCAATATTACCTATGTAATTTTAACTTTTTACATTCATACATTTTTGTAATATATTTTTATATGCATACACTTTTTCTATAATATATTTTTTATCACTTTTATATGATTTTAGAGGTTTTTAAGATATTGAGTTTGATTATTTTGCTTCTAGCTTGGAGTTACATTTGATAATATATGAAGTTACATCATCTTATACTTCAGTTACAAGTTATTATGTGTGAGTTACATCTTGCTATACACGAGTTACATACTTTTATGCGAGAGTTACATGTAATTATGTGTGAGTTACATCTTGTTATACACGAGTTACATACATTTATGCGCGAGTTACATGTAATTATGGGTGAGTTATATCTAATTATTTGTGATTTTTTACTTATCTTTATCTTGAACTAATTCAATTATAACTGAATTAATTTTTTTCTTTGTCAATTTAATACAAAATTTTATTAATCCACATAAAATAAGTATATTGTATTTCATATTCATACACTATTTTTCAAATGATAAAAATGAAAGATGTAGCAGGGGTTTATTTCATGGTGTAACTCACATACATTAAGATGTAACTCGTGTATATTAAGATGTAACTCGCGTACAATAAGATGTAACTCACGCATAAGAAGATGTAACTTCATGATATATTATCAAATGTAACTTCAAAATAATTTGTTAAAATTACATAAGCAATATTGGTCTCATTTGATAGATCATGAAAAAAAAATTGATATAAAATTTATAAAAATCGGATATCAAATAAACAAGTTATTACAATTTTTAACAATAAAACAAATAAAAAAATGAATGCTGCGTCGTTTTGGGATCGGGCGCACCATCCTCATGGTGCGCCGATCCCAGGATATAAACCGCGAACCCTTACATATATTTATATGATTTTTGTGTATGTACATATATTTGTATAATGTAATTGTATTTTCGTTAAAAGCATGCATTTATGTTGCTGAATTTCCATTATGTGTAAAAATAAGCACATTATGGCTCTTTATTGTCAAAGGATCAAAAAATTATATAGTGGGATCAACTCATGTACTATACTTTCCATACAAGCTGCTCGATCTCTTTCTAAAACTACGTAGTTTATGTTAAAAATGAATTTTATCATCTCTTCTTCGCTGATCTGAACGGTCGTCTCTTTAATAAAACATTCTAGTTTTCTCTTTTCTTCTTTAATTCCCTTTTTCTTTTCTATCAAAATATCAAGAATGCAACCACAATTTTATTTTCTTTATTTTTAACTTAAATAACAAATCAATCCAAATTTTTTTATTTAGTACGGAGTCATTCACAAGCACAAATTTTTATTAATCTACAAAAAAAAAAATTATATTTGTATTTGCCAAATATGAAACTCTTTATTCGACATTTACCTTGTACTTTTATGTTCATGTGATTGATATTTTAAATCCAACCAAGTTCATCTAGTTTTATAAGTTACATAAAAATACAATACAACTACATATTTGTCATACGTAGTTTACATTTTTATCAAATTATTTATACCAAACATGCAACTTTTATTTACACAAAAATATAATGTCACACTTAGATATTTTTTTCACATTGTTTGCATTATTTTGTATAATCACTTATCCTAGTAATAAAACTTTATTATCAACAAGCACTATTGCACTTAAATAGAAATGTACCAAACTTACATATTCGACATATGCAATTTACAATTTATAAAAACTCATTTACACCAAACATCGAACTTTGGTATCAATAAATATTATAACATGCATTTACTCGCTAATAATCACATGTTTGTAAATGACGAGCACTTTGTCACGGTGCGTCAAAATAAATTCAATACTAAACACTTATACGTAGTATAGGTGAAGTAGAGTTCGTATCCACAGCGAAAGAAATAATTCTCTTTTTATGAAACTTAGTAAATAAAGGGGGGATTTGGATTGAGTGATTTAATTTAATTAAAAACTAAGATGAACGACCTATATGAGATTTAATTCGAAGATAAAAAGGACTTGACATTGCTACTTTCCACTTGTTGATATATTTTAGTCGATCATTGTTATATCTATAACTTATTCCCTCTCGAATACTCAATCGGGGAGTATATCCACTTCATCGAGGGTAGTTATTAACAACAACCATTCATCAGGGCCGGCCCTGGGCCTGTCTGCCCAGCCCAATCGCACAGGGCCCGGTATGTAGGAGGGCCCAAAAAAAAATTAGTATTACCCCAGCCCAAAACTTTTGTTTTTAGCCCAAATCAATTCCCAGCCTCAAAATCAATTCCCCTGCTCTCTTCCGACTCTTCCCGTTCCCGTCTTCCTGTCTTCGTGTCTTCACGACAAAGGCCAAAGGGACACGGACACCGCCGGTCCGCCACGGCGCCGCGCCACTCGGCCCACTCCGCCAGACCGCCGTCCACAACCGCACGCCGCTGCCAAAGGGACACCGCTCGGCTGCTCTCCAGTCTCCTGTCTCCACGAGGACCACGACTCGACTTCAACCGACGACTCCGACTCTCCCACGACACTCTGACTTCAGCCGACCGCCTCCGCCGCCCTCCGGCCTCCCTCAGACGCCGTCCTTCCGGTCAGTTACTAATTTGCTAATTCTTTTATTCATTTAGTTGCTAATTTGCTAATTCTTGTGAACTTTCAATTTATTGAATATTTGAATTGATGAATTGTTTGTTGAAATCTTGTAATTTGTTTATTTTCAGATTTAATGTTTGTTGAATTGTTGTGTTGTTGTTATTTGTTGATTTTTTGCATTTAAAGTAAATCATGCTTTCACCCTAATTTTAAACTTAATATTAATTTAAAATTTATAAACATGTACAGGAT